GGAGGTGGCCCGGGAGCAGGAACGGGATGTTGTGCCTGAAGACACATGTAAATGTAAGATCTTATAAAGTATAACTATGATAGATTGGCAGGTTCCAGTTGAGTCGTAATTATTATAATTAGTTGAAAAGTCTATGCCAGCATGACATGATGGCACTCGATGCGGTGGCGGGCAGCCCATTGCCGAAAGGCGACAGAGGCCGAATGTAGCGATGCTGTAAGTGACAGCTCTTGGCCCCAATAGCCTGATCGAATTTCGAATAGTACGATTCGGTTTGTTCGGATTCCGAGTATACGTAGATTTGGGATATTGCAAATAAGGCACATCGTCCACAAAGGAGTTGCAGAGCACTTCCGTTAACCACTTGAGCGACTCCCAGGTTGATGCAATGCATAGTACACCACTTTATTTGAGTGCTGGGGTTGAACCCAATAACAGTACATATCGGGTTGAGCTGCCGAGGCATCACATTCAGCAAGATATCGGTGTCTGTACGACGATCGAATCTGCAACACAAGTTGCGGCTCCAAGCAGTTGGCCCGCTGTTCTGTGCCCGACATACGTGGCACATGTACTTGACCTTCCAGTTCCAAAAAGCACTAAAGCCAAAGAATTCTTTCTGATATTTCCAGTCTCCACGATGCTCCAGCAAAATGCCAGGTCTTCCTGCCCCGCGTACGGTATCACTCTAGCGGATCTATAGCCTTAAAAACAACCAGATCGAAATTCGAAAATCGAAAGCTCCCAAACGACGACCCTTGAATTTGGAGGCACTGCGCCTGGCATCTTCGTTCCTGCCACTTTCGCAGCTGCTCCGGCAAGGCGAACGCCGTCCAGGTTGAAGGTCGGGTAGACTCCGAAGTAGATGATCTGAGATTCGGCAAGGTTTGTTGCTGTTGGGGATCTGCCCTAATCCGGCTTTGCAACAACCTGTAACCTGTATACCTAAAAAAGCGTACTATACTCGAATAAATTAAATTGATGAATAATAGGCTAGGATCGTTGAAAGACCAACTGAGGATTCTCATGATGGGATTCCATGTTCGTGCTCCAAGGCATATGAACTCACGCAAGGTCCAGACAGGGTAGCGAGCAATGTCACCTCCTGCAAATCTCTGGCGCCCTTTAGCTTACTTGGAGGGTCGGGGGACTTAGTAAGTAGGTAGTAAGTAGACTTATAAGTACCCTAAAAGGGACCCTAATTGGGGTTATGGTACTTATAAGTCCCTAAAATAACCAGTTACTTACTAAGTCCCCCGACCCTCCAAGTAATCCTACAGCCATATATTGAACCTATCAAGGAAAAGCTAAAATTGTTATTTGCTGCTGCATCACGTCTGGGGGTGTCTAATATGCTGTTCACAGTAACCATCAGCAGTTTCGAGCCCGAGGTGTTGTATCTTGCATCGTCGCCGTACATGCCCAGCGGAACTGCCCGCTTGTCATACCCTGTCGGTATAGGCAGCTGGTTCGCCCTAGCCCGTGCAGCAAGATGCTCCCAATAGTCCTCCAATTCCGCAGGTGTCACACGGATCTTTCCGGAATCCTTGCAAGCATTAGCTGGGATTTGGAGTTAGTTTCAGGGTTCGAAGTTTTAGGGTGTATTAGGGTTGAGAGGGTTCCAGGGTTTATTGGTTTTAGGGTTTGTGGCTTTGAAGCTTTGAGCCTGCAGGGTTATCCTTCACTTGCGGTTTGGCTTGTTGTATAACTTTTGAGGGCAGTTTACAGGACCCATTTCATTTATACATTTAAAACATTCGAACTTTAAGGGTGCACTTGTGTGTTTTGGTTTGTTTGGGCTTCGTAAGGTTTTCTAGATATAGGCAAAGTTGTCATTAATTATTCGACGACCAAGCGACCATCAAGTAGGCATACAGCTCGTGGGGCATGATAAACGGGGATCTCATTTCAGTCTCGGTTTTCCTGTCCGATTCAGATCGAACCGGGATCGTGCAGTAGTGCAAGTCCTTGATTGTGGCAATTCGTCGATGAAGGCTCTATAGATATATCTAGATAAGAAAACATATATATATATATATATATATATATGTAAAGTCCCCAAATACTGCTAGGAAGATTGGACAAAACACCACTGGCAATTGCAGAGCACGGTTTATGTCGCGCGGGACATTGTTGGGATAGCGTCCACGGCAGCCAGCTGAAGCAAGTCGATGCGTTAAAGCACTAGCCGAGCCTCCTGATTCCACGATCATAGCGGCAGCACTCTGCTGCAGCTCCACTGCCGAAGCTGCCTGGTTGTGTGACACGTAGATAGCTGGGGACGGGATGTATGAACCCTAGCTGAGATAGACACACTGAAAAGCCCTATACACTATAAATGCAAACTAACGTTCATCTCAGAAACCACGACTCCGATAAAATAAATCCCCACTACATAGCTGAAAATAGCTGATAACCTTAAGCTCGCCAACCTGACCCGGAAAGCAGCTTAACCTTTACTTCGAACAGCAAATCTTGAGTCACACCGTGTATAAAATAAAACAGTATATATATATATATATACACTCGTAGGTTAATATCAATTAAAAATTGCAAAAACTACATACAACATATTGTATGTAGTTCTTGGCAATGATTAACATTTTACGAGTATGTGTATATATATATATATAATATTCTATATTATTTACCTATCGCCATTTTGTTGAGCCTGCACTCCAGTTCAGCCGAAGGCAGGTGGTTGGGTTGGCTAGCTAGCTTCGAAGTTCGAGTTCTCGATCCTATATACCAATGCAACACCAGAAAGGTCTCCCAGTCTCCCAGAGCGATCGATTCTGCAGCCGAAGCGGCACCCGTACCCAAGCTTTTGAGAAGGTGGTCAGCAAATGCAGCGTTGCCTGCGAGGGAGGCCGGTCTAGATAGCAGCTATAGAGCTAGTGCACATGCAGACGGGACGTGTCACTTGCAGCGTAGTTTTTTGCTCACAGTGCTCCTACAGCCCAGGCCGACATCAGGCACACACCACATCGTATCTAGCTGGTGCATATTCAATTTAGCACACTCAGGATTAATGTCATTTGACCTGATCGTGGCCGCACGGGCTAGCACCCCACTTCAGAGTCTTGGAGTCTTGACGAACCAAAATCATGGGCTCTGTGCCCGATTGAAATTTGGGATCCAAGCCGTGCTCCACACTTCTGGATCCCAGGAAATCCTGGCGCCACAGCGACCTACGATCACTGCATCGAGGAGGCCTTTGCCTTGGCTTTTCCCTTGGCAGAGCTCTTAGGCTTTGGAGGTTGAAGATGCATCTTCACGTGCTTGTTGGCACCCTTAAAATTGCACAGTGCGTGGTTCAACTTCACCAGGGGTTCCTCGAGCTCCAAGCCTTCCATGCCCTTCGAAAAAGAGTCCTACAATCACAGGTCGAGCTTATCGCAACATAACGGATCACAGAGTGGAGTTTATCGCAACAGATTACCAGCAGTCCTCCATTTCTTTCAAGTTCTCAGCGATGAGGTCCGAGTGGCGGGTCATCGAGTCACACAAAGCTTTGATCAGCTCGACATCCCTAGGTACAACAAGCATGTGGTTTCGATGTACATGTTGAATGCTAGGTACAACAAGCATGCATTGCATGTATTCTGCAATCGAGGTACACCTTGTTTCGCAGGAGCTTCGGCTTGTAGCTTTTTATCTCGAGGAGCGAATCGTTGGCGGCCTTTATGGCCTTCCCAGATCCAGTATAATCCAGTACTAGTTTAAACGCCCAAACCCTTAGACTCTAAACCCCTAAAGCTTGTAAGGCCTTAATACTTATTATTCTGACCGTACACACCCAATCTAACACATATATACTTTTAGGTACTGGCGCCTGTTTGGCAAGTTGATCTGTTGTCTTGGCTTTGACTTCTTTGATCTCTTCATTTTTTCCTTTCCCCTTGTTCTTGCCCTTTCCCTTTGCTTTGCCCTTGCTTTGCTCGGTTGTAGCAGTATCCATGACACCGCCGAAGCCATCAGTATCCCCCTCCCGCTCGAAAGTGAACGAACTCTCCCGGGAGTCCACGGTCCGGTCGGTGCTGCTTTCCCAGCAGCGATAGATCCGCTTGGCCTGCAGCGTAGTAGAATACTGGGGTTGAGTGGTTTAGGATTTAAAGGGTCACACACACACACACATATATATATATATATATATATATATATATTCGTTTCACACATGCACACGATCAGGCATGTGTGGTGATTACCAGCAGACTAGGGTCGCGAAGATTAGCTGAATACCATATGAACCTGTACATGTACAGATAAAGATTAAACTATTCAGTATAGTATGCCCCAGCAGGCCTTTACCCCAGGAAAGTCGGGGTTGTCGCAGAACTGCGTCGAGTCCTTTTCCTGACCAATTAAACGACACGACCCTAGAGCGAATTACCATTATCATTTACAGAACTGCGAGTGTCCTTCTCCAGAATCAGTTGCGCAGCATCCTCCGGCCCGTACTTCTTTTCGATCTCCTCCAGTAATGGCCAGGTTTGAAGGGTCCGGTGTAATCTTATTGGGAATTCAGTGGTATATGGGTTCATGCAGTCGGAGAGTCAACAGAAATATTACTAGTAAGGTTTCGGGCCTAGGAGATTTCAGCTTGCGCACACTTGCTGGTCCTGTCTGTTGATCCAGACATAGACACCTTCGGCCTCGTACCGGCTGATGATTTTCTGCACGGCAATCACTCGCGAGCACCCCCAAGACTCATCCGACATGATGTATTCGCGAAACATCCTCTCGACCGCTGCCGAGTCTTGGTTTCACAGGGCCACACACTCGAGCTGTAAAGTGCATTCGGATGAGTGACGAACATATATGCCATATATGCATCTCAAGAATCCTCGCGGTCCACCATTGTTCGTGGCCTTCTGCCACTGTTCGAGAATAGCCGGTGGGCACTTCTTGCCTAAGTGATTTAAGATTTGGGGTTGTGGGGTTTCAAGTAAAATCAAACCAGCACCCCCAGCCCCCCGGCCCCCAGTGCAGTCAGGTGCTTTCGAAAGACCGCAAGAATCGCATCCGCGTCTTTCGGGCGGCTTCCTGCCAGCAAGCACGGGCTAACATTAATATTGTTTGGGGCATTCGGATCTGTATAGATGCCTTCATCTGGTGCATGACATCCGCAAGAGCCGATAGCTCAGGATCATCTTCAACATCACTCGGGCCAGGGGTTGAGGGAGCACTGCTAGGTGGGTTCGAAGGAGTGGCTTGCGTAGCCTTCACAGGGACAGTGGAAGGTGGAGGCATCGACTGCTGGGGCTCGGTATTCGGCTTTTGCTCCAGTGCTTTCTCGGCATTCCCCTGATCTGGCTCGACATGCACCAAAGCATTGACCACCTGCTTGGAGAGGAATGGGGCATCGACATCCATAGGAATTGAGGCTTCTGTGATCGGCTTCTGCTGCGGTGCTTGGTCCGAGGCTTCTGCCGGCTTGGGCTTCTGCTGCGGTGCTTGGTCCGAGGCTTCTGCTGGCTTGTTCTGCTGCGGTGCTTGGTCCGAGGCTTCTGCCGGCTTGGGCTTCTGCTGTGGTGCTTGGTTCGAGGCTTCTGTCGGCTTGGGCTCAGCATTCGGGCGCATTCCAGGAGGGGACCTCGAGTCACAGCGATGGCTGTTGCCATACAGATCATCTAGATAGCTGTCCATGGCCTGAGTAGCCGGTACCTGCTTTGCTGCGAGCTCCTGCTGTGCTTGGGCTTCCTGAAGCTTGGCAGTCTTGACTGCAGCAGCAATTGCCTCGAACTCGACAGTTCCGGGGCGTAGCAAAGCTTTCTGAATCTCACTGGGGCTTTGCTGAAGCACATCACACAGTGTCGTGAGTGCATGTGCTGCATCATCAGCAACAGACGATGGCTTCCCCGAGCCGAGGTTGCTGGAGTGCTGCGGGGCGTCGGCGGTCTTGGCGGGCTCGTCCTGGAGCTGGGCAGAACAAGAATATATATATATATATATATATATATACGACGGGTAGGTTGGTGGGTAGGTGGAGAGAGAGAGAGAGAGAGAGAGAGAGTTCACATTTTAGAGCGAGTGAAAGGGACAGAGCGAGATCCTCGGAGCGACTCGCAAGGGAGGGAGGGCGAGATTTCAATAATAGACACAAGCAGAGGGAGGGAGGGAGAGAGAGTGGGAGAGAGACAGAGAGAGACACATATATAGAATAATGTCGGGTTTAAACCCTAAGCCCTAAAACCCTAAACCCCTAAACCCCTAAACCCCTAAACCCCTAACCCCTAAACCCTAAACCCCTAAACCCCTAAACCCCTAAACCCCTAAACCCCTAAACCCCTAACCCCTAAACCCTAAACCCCTAACCCCTAAACCCCTAAACCCCTAAACCCCTAAGCCCTAAACCCCTAAACCCCTAAACCCTTAAATGGATTTGAGAGATCAGAAGGGTTGTGGGGTCAGGGTTGTTTAGCAGGATTGTCAGGATTTTGGTTTGCGGGTGCGATTAGGGGTTTCTGCTATGATCTTCGCGACGGGTTGCACTTCAGAGTCGAACGGATAGATTTCAACTCCAGCTATTAAATCAGTGGAAGCGTGGGGCCCCACTTGCACTAGATTATCCCGAACCCGATTCCCCAGTCCTCCAAGCTAAGCTTCGCGAGATCGTGATCAATCTGCACGTCCAAGTCCACTTGTGTGTCGGGACATGAGTCCATCACATCATTGTGCATCTGCCTCGCCTGGGTACACGTACTGCTGGCAATACTATATAGCAGATTATCCACCATCGAATCAAGATGCTCGGGCGACAACATCCGGGGTCGGTATCTCGAGAGAGTCCACGCTGGAGCCTAAGCTAAAGTATATTAGGGTTTTATGGGGTTGGGGGTTTGGGGTTTCTAATCTTTTAAGCCTTGCAATCCCCTGAACCATCGGTCGCCGAAACAGGATCCCTCAGGCCCCCGGCCTCACATACCCCAAAACTCCGTATACCCTAAACCCTCGTTACCCACATGTACATGTAAACCCCACGCACTCATAAGCCCCCACCCGGTACCTCTAAGCCCCTGATTCGGATAATCGTCGTCGTTCTACATCCCAGGTTTTTAAGCCGCGCCGCCCTTCGCCGGCATCTTCGATGGAGTCGCGAAGAGCTGCTTGTTCGGGTCCGGAGTTTGCCCAGGGGTTGCGAAGAGTTGCTTGCTCGGGGTCGGAGTTTCTGCAGGCGTGTCTCCTACACTTTCCAGGTTTTTGGCATGCTTCGGGGCTGGTGTCTTGCAGGAGGGCGTCTCGGTGTTCACAGTGCTGGGGGTCTTGGGCGGGCGGCTTCTTTTGTTAGTTGCATCCACCATGCCACCGTCGGGGTTTGCAGCCACGCTTGCAACCGAAGCTGCCAGCTGCCTGCGTCGCGCTGCAGCATCTAGTGCCTTCTGCGATGCCTGCACAACAAGCTTATTAGGTAACATCTATACCGAATATGATGCATCCATGAATTCTGGGCAAAGAGCATCAAAGAGCCTTCTTCAAGTCATCCTCGCCCTTTACATTTGCCATGGCAGGTGACAGGCACTGCCCAAATCGATAGGAAATCCAGGCACTTAAGCATAAAAATGCTACGATCGGATTGATAGGGCTTTCACAGGCCTGCACGGGCATTGGCGATCACGCGAAATCACGCGAAATCACGCGGAGCCTTCTGGCCATTAATATATTTAGTATTAGGAACCCGATCAGCGGAGATCACGCGAAATCACGCGAAATCACGCGGCCTTGGCTGCAGCCAAGGCCACGTGATTCCGCGTGATTCCACGTCCAAGGGGCCCTGGGAAACCAGTAGGAGGGCTTCAATTGTCTATCGGTAGGCCTCACTAGCCTGTCCTGGTGCGATTTTTGGGCTTGGCTGAGCCGAAAGCACTCCTGGAAGCTTGAAGGCATCCTAATTGTTCGAATTATTCGATAGCAAATTATCTAATTTGCCCTGTAACGCTCTGCTTCCTCCTGGAGCAGAGCTAGCACTGGAAGATTCGGCACGAAAGCCTGGGGATCGAAACGCTGCTGCTGTGCTTCGCTGATCAGAAAGTCAGTTATCGGGGACAGCATCGCATCACCCCAATCAAAATGCATGTCCTCGGAAGTACGTGGCTTAAAGGTACACTGCTGTTGAACGTACCATCTACTCTTATATTAAACATACACCCTATGAACTACTTCTCCCGGCAGCCACGGCTCCAACTCATGACGATCAGGTAATGGCTCCGGCAGTGGAGGGGCACTGGCGAAAACCTTGGCTTCAGCTGGATCTTGGACATATCTAGATAGCGGTACCAAATACCCCTAAATTCCTAGCCCTTGCCTTGTGGCCTTTGAAGAACCGGTAGGTAGATATATACCGATCAGTAAATTAGATGATAGATACCCCCCGGCAGCAAAGGGCCAAGCACCCCACCCCATCCCACCCCAAAAAAGCACCACAAATCGAAGAGCGTAAGCAACCTGCCCCCACCAGGCGCGAGCATCATGAGCATCAGCCGGGTTTGGGGCGAAATCAGAGCGAGCATCATGAGCATCAGCCGGGTCTTGGGGCCTAGGAAAACGGGCCCGGACACCGGGGAGCAAAGTACGGTCACCGGGGAACTTTAGAGGTGTTGTCACCTTGAACGAATGTTGGCGGGCATCCTGGGTTTGATTTGTTGTAATGGGGTGAGATGCGGGAGTGGGTTTAGGGTTTAGGGTGTAGGGTTTACTTGGAGTGGCAGGGGACTTAGGCGTCTCAACACATTTTTGTTGTTTTGGGATGAATCAGGGAAAACCCCCTCCGGCCGTTGAGCAAAGCTTTTTAAGGTCCTGAGTGTTTTCCAGCTAAGGCCTTGCAGACCATATAGGTTCAGGTTTGGCGGTGTTAGGGTTGGGGCCCCAATTCCTATAACCACAACCACCGAAGTGCCACTACTATAATCACCACCACCACCACCACCACCACCACCACTACCCTCACAACAACAACCTGTACTACTACACCTGCTACCGTTGCCTGCTACCTGCTACCTGCTACTGTACTACTCTAGACTACTACGTGATACTACTACTACTACTACTACTACTACTACTACTACTACTACTACTACTACTACTACTACTACTACTACTACTACTACTATTACTACTACTACTACTACTACTACGACTAATACTACTACCGGAAGCCTTCTTTCAGGGTTAGGGGGTTTTAGAGCTTTGGCTTCGGTGCTTTCAGTTGTAAGGCTTATAAACTCCAGCAATCGACCTACACCTGAAAAGTCGAAGTAGGTTCTTGTAATTGTATAAGGTGTGGCAATTGGGCTGTAGGACTTGGGGCTTCTTTGCTGCCGTGTGCGGTTTGGATTTTTTTTGGCCACGGGCTGTGGGGTTTGGGGCTTACGGCTTAGAGTTTATAGGGTTTGAGGTCCGGAGTTCATTTCGGTCTCACATTCCAGACGTGTTCATGTCTAAACACGAGGATGCATGCATTTGCTAGCGGGTGGGCACCTACATGTCCCTAGACAGCTGCCCGGCTTGCAGTGCCGAGTCGCCATGTGTTCAGTGTGGATGTCAGCAATGAACTCGCAGAAGCTTACCGGGTAGTGGCCGGAAACTTTCAGCATGCGTCGCTTACCCGTCCTGGGCACAGCCAGGGCTAGCACGATCTGGCCAAGTCTTGGAGATTGCAATCGTACAGATCCGGCTAATATAATTTCAAGCTTAAGAGTCACCTTCTTCTTGCCGTGTTTGACCTTCCTCTCCACAGGGTCAGCTCGTCTACGAATTCGTGGCTTGTTGCTGGGGATGTCGAACACATACGTCCTTAGTACGTGCTAGCGCCAGGGAATTACAGGTTAACGGGCAGTAACCAGTGGGAGCATGACTGCGAACCAGGCTTCGGGGTTCCCAGTACATAACTTGGCTTCGGGGTCCAGTGTCCAAAGGTCGACATCCAAAATTTACGGAGGTGAGCATTGGCCATTGCCATGAGGGCCTCCACACACTTGTAGTAGCGCAGGAAGCTGCCATCAGGCTGTTCGATCTTGGCATGGACGCAAACTAGGCTTATAATGCTCTATATGCGCGTTGAGGGTTTGGGGGGTTAGTGTTTAGGGTTAGGTCGTGTACTAGGTGGGTAAGTCGTAATGCACACGCACATGGCCGTATGTGATGTATTTGTATATACACATCGAACTGCAGTCCCTCCCTCGAGCACAACCTATGACCGAGAAACCAGAGACCCCAACCTTTGTGCCACTTACCTTCCCGTCCCCACCCGTATGTATGTGTATGTGCTGTACATCTCTGATCATCCAAGGAGCTATGAAGTGAACCTGGAGACATACTGCCACCATCAACAACAGGACCGTCCTGCGTTCGACGGCAGCAAGACTGATCCGGAGCTGGGAAGAATCGGTATTGAGGCAGATCGAGGATCGATGTACCTATGCTGCGTAGATCATAGTATATTATGCACAGTCCTTTGGGCTATGAGATTTCCCACAGCCACCAGCCGGCGGGACGTGTCGCCACGAGCACCAAATCTAGGTTGGCCACGGCGATGAATGGAGCTAGACATAAACACCCACCTCAGTATTCAAGACCAACTTCGAGCTGACCCTAGCCGCCCTAAAGCGTAACAAGCAATATATGTGTACGAGGCACGAAGAACATGGGACACCACACCATACCAGGCCATTCTCTTTAACTTTCATGATGCTGAGAAGTGCGTGCAGAAAGCCGCTTGTCGTGGTAATATCATGGCAGCGCAAACCGTCAGCCGAACCCAGCATGATGTCGTAAGGCTGCGCCCGGTATCCTCTGGATCCTTAAACGATGTTCTAGCCAGCCGACACAGCTCGCACATCAGTGGTACTATAGATTCGATCGAAGGCTCTGAAAGCATGGGTCATCCGGCAGCTTCCGCTAAACAGCTCGACCATGGCATAGTCCTTATTATAATAGTATGTACATGTCATAAGCGACAGCATGAGCAGTCAACAAGGGCTCGAACTCTTGCACTAATATACATGCTCATACACGATCTCTACATTTAATATTTCGGCTGCAAGTGGCCCGTCGCCACGGCTGTGCATCAACATCCCAGTGCCCAACGATGTTGAGCTGGAGGATGTAGTCAATGGCAGCAAGCCTTGTAGGGATTTGGAATTCCCGAAGGGCTGCAGGGTTCAAGATCTCGTACATATATTGAAACTGAACAGACAGCCTAGCAGCAGAGTGATCGGAGCTCCCAGTGCGAGGAGCACAGCACATCTTTGTCCATTAAAGGAAATCAGGGGAGGCGCCATGCTTTCAGAAAGAAAATTCTAGGAAGGCCACCGTGTTGCCCGGCAGGCTTTTGTAGGTACAGGTCTCGACCCCAGGATATTGGAATTTCTCTATGCAAAATCGTACTCAACTTGGAGGCCCTGTTGACTTAGTAAGTCTACTTAGTATCCCCTAGAAACCCTATTATAATCCCCATAACCCACCTTACTAACCCTACTTACTAAGTCAACAGGGCCTCCAAGAAGACACTCATCAACTGCAAGTATACCTATATTGGCTAGAGCCCAGGACCAGGCATGTGTGCTCCACAGTACAAGTCGTGATCATGACACATGCATGCACACGTGTGCGGATATCTAGAAGCACGCACCAGGTAGCATGAAGCCCTTTCTTCGTCGTGGCCCAACAGCCCTTTCAAGCTTCTAGGCCCCATCCCGGCGGAAGTTCAAACAACATCAGTCAGTGCCGATCAAAGGTGGCACAATCATTGATCGCGATCGTCCGCATCAAAACTGGATCTTGGCAATCGAAATATCGCTCCTGGCGAAAGTTGAAGGTGTTAGGTTTGGGGGTATGGAGGATTAGGGTTCAGAGTGGCTGGCGGAGAGCAAGTTCAGGGTGTTGGGTTTGGGATGTGGAAGTTTACAGAGTACCTGCCGAATAATTTCAATTACACAGTGGCTGTGCTTCAGAATGTCTCTAAGCTATCCAGCGGTCCTTGTGCTTCACCCCGAAGCCGCTGAGTTTTAGCAATTAGAAGAAGATTAACAGCAAAAACCTAAAATAGCACAACCTAAATCCTAGCCCCTAACACCCTAAACCTACATGATATAATATATATATATATATATACATATATATAAACCTAAAATAGCACAACCTAAATCCTAAAACCTAGCCCCTAACACCCTAAACCTACATGATATATATATATATATATATATATATATATATATATATATATAATTACATATATAGCCTATGGGTGTAGGGCGGCAGGTTCACTAGGTCGACAACCAATTATGTGTTTGAATAGGGTTCGTGTTAGGGTGAGTGTTTAGGTCCAAGGTTCGAAAATAGTAATATATCCCATATTTGTTTAGACTCGTTGGAGGGTTGGCGGTGGAAGTTAAATAATATCTCTATATATATATATATATATATATTATATATATAATTATGATTTCAACTAAATATACATTGACTATATATATTATATATTATATACCTAGATATATGATACATATCTTGGATGGGGTCAACACCAAAGTCACCAGCTTCGGGTTCATAAGATCGAGTCTCAAGCAACCAAGTCCCAAGTCCCATTGCCCATGCAAACCTGTAACCAGCTACGCTGTAAAATCACGATCACGGGATATCTGATCAAGTAGGGGTCTGGGCACTACATTATTTAGGCAAGGGGCAGCGTTCCTTCTGCTCGGGCCACTTTGCAAGCTTCTTAGCTGTAGCCCAAGCCAGAGCCCAATCAGTATTCAGCTTGCGAACCGAGATTGTGACTCCGCCTTTCTTGTTAATATTGAAGCTGCGATCGAATGCCGAATTGGTCAAGGCCTTGTTGACATAGAGCTGGTCTGTCGTCCACCTCACATCTAGCAGAATTAATCGGCTAGAGCCCGAATGAAAAAAGAAGCCGAGCCGATCGCACATTAAGGTATGGCTAGGGGCAGAATTCCGATACTGCCGGTGCCATCGTCGCTGTCTTCAGGCGCCGGGACCGTGAAGCTCTTCCTCTCACCTGTGAATCCTTCCGGCACTGGCACACCTGCCTCACGCAAGAGTGTCACCTCAAGGCAGCTTAAGTTCAAGCTTGTATGCACATATACACGAACACATCAACTCTCGAACCGAATTCATGTTCAGATAAAGCACTGTGGCACTCCAATTCTGGACAGGCATTGCTCCTCCTGCGGCTAGCCCTGGCGCTGCAGCTGCGGGTGCTTCCTCTGCGGCTCCTTCCGGAGCCTCGTTGTCAGCCTGGACTGCCTGTGCTGCCGCCTTTGCCTTTGCCTTCGATTTTCCTTTTGCCTTAGCTTTGCTTTTGGGTCCTGTACATGCATGGTAGCAACCCGGCAGCGGCACAACAGTACTTGTTCAACCCTGCAAACCACTGCCCCTGACTGTGTGCCTGCTTTTGCCTTGGCCTCAGCAGCAGCCGCTTTGGCTGCTGCTGCAACCTCAGATGTAACAAGCATCTTAAATGAACTAACTAGCTATATAGGTCGTCGGCTTAAATATTATTATGCAAATGCACCCTAGAAACCTTGCGCTGGGCTTCCACCACATCACCATCAGCAGGGATTGGCTGGGATGCCAAAACCATATCTTCCAGGGTTTGCGGGATCTCAGCCGGCTCACGGGGCTCAATGGGGTTCCGCCTGAACTCCTTAATCATACACATGATCTGTTTGATGTACACTGTATACATGACACCATACAATCCCAGGCGGCACCTGGGCAGCTTGTCGGCGGTCTTCTGGCAGTCTCCCCGAAGGCTCATCGATGTCCATTGGCATCTGTGTCTCCACTGTACTGGGGTCCACCACGACAGCCCGCACCTCGAATTCGACCATATAACTCGATCGATCTAGATCTTGATCTACGTGCCATTACATTGCAGTCGAGTGCACTGCTGGTACAGTTGGGGGGGCATCGGATTCGTTCCTCGGGTCTGCTTCGGCGCCTGACACGCATGCTTAATATTCTAGAAAATACGTGTCCATGTTCGACATACATGACACCAAAATCATGCTATTAAAGACCATATCTCCTGCTCCGGCGGCACAAGCAGTTGCGAGTCTTCCTGGCCGACAGGAGTCGTCTAGATAGTTATCTATATGTGTGTTGCACAATTCGAAATCGGATTCCTTCTCATCGAGCTCCATATACACATCAGAGTCCTCATCGCCGATCGACTCCAGAGAATTGGCCAGGCTTTCCTGGCCGTGGCCATGCGGGTGCCAAGCTCTGATGAGTGCGGAAGCTTAAGTATGTGCCTCTGTGGATGCCTGTTATAAACCCGGATCCTCGAGCCCTGAGCCTCTACATGGATCCCAGAATTGCATATAATAATACGGATCTGTACAGACGACTAACTAGCTGATCAGGATATAAGTCCTGACCTACGAGTTGTCGCAGCCCAAATTTAAATTCCTAAACCCCTGCAACCCCTAAACCCTTGACCCCTGCAGCCCCTACACCCTTCACCCCCGAATCCTTACAAATCTTATTAACATTATTCTGTTTCACCCACGTCAAGCATATCTCTGCCGTCGAAGAAATGATCATGAAGTTTAGGGTTTGGGGGCAGAAGATGCCTGGTCTTCCTCTGCAGCACCAAGAGCATCCTCGATGGCAAGGTCCGGGTCCTCCGGTTTCTCAGTACCTGACGGTCCCCCTAATGATGCATGTTATTTGCATTTCAGAAACTTATCATCGTGAAAACATGTGGGGCTTTTGCTGTTTCCAGTACGTACTACTGCTGCTAGAGCGCCTGTCTGGATCGTTGCACGGACCACATCCTTCAGGGCCATGATGGCCGGGCTCCTGTCAGCGATGATCCTAATATCGATTGCAAGAATTCCGGGTCTATAGCTCTACACATATTATGTGGCTCCTCGCTCCCTTGCTTCGACGTGTCAACGTCAAAGCGTGGATCGCTCCGGCTCGAATCGTCGCCGCTTGAAGGGATGCCCATTCCTGGGATACGGGTTAATTTTTTGAAATATGCACGGAATACGTGGAATGATAGTCCCAGTAACGATCGATGCGTTTATATGAGCAAAGTCACTCGCAGGACTTTGCGCTTGGGCTTGGGACCCAAAATCGCATATCGCATGCCCAAGACCATAATCACTTCCTCGTGTGGCGCACAACTTTATATCTAGATATTTGCTGCGTAAGCGTGCACCTGATGCACACTGTATAGTGGGATGTTGCCAGCTAGGCTGGCCAGGTAATCCATGTAAAACTCCAGGTGAAGCTCCACCTGAAACGGATCATTGAAATACCGACACTGATTGTCTCACGACTGCCAACAATGTACCCGTGCATGCCAGCCCCACCCCCCTCGCACCATGTCGGCGCTGCTCACACCCTCCGGCACGATCTTCAGGATTTCCTGCACAAAAGCTTCAGTCATGTACAGCCCATAATCAACAAAGAGAACTTTAAATCTCAAACCTCGATACCGTAAAACCCTGCATTTTAGCTCAACTGGCTCAATGAAACCCGTGCCCTGCTTGAAGCTGAACTCACAAAAAACCCGACCGGCCTTTCTCTGCCGAATCTTTGGCAGTGTGGATGCATCTGCTGTGAGGAAGCTGTTGAGGATATCCTGGAAACAGGAGAAAACGGGCCTACGAGCCGGATCCCGACTCTACTTGGTGGGGGGGCCTCCAACAAAACTTTGGAGACTCGGCGTGCCAGCGCCTTTTCTGGAGATATCGGCATATCCTCATATGCATCGCTTGCAAGATTAGGGCTTGATCTAGTCTTCCTGCTCAAACGTGGGTGCATCCAAGCAGCAACCTCCGATCGAACACTTGCAAATTGCAGGCTCGAAAACTTCGATAAAACACTTGATCCGAAATCAAGAACATGCCCTCGACTCATGGGACTGCAGCGACCGCAAAACACGAGGCATGATGCAGCGACGGGGGGGAGCACCGGAAACACTCCACGCAGGATCAAAGATATCATCCCGATCATCGCCATCGATATTCGCAAGGTTCAGGCTGCGCTCTCGACTTCGGGAGCGGGCTCGATGTTCAGGAACATAGTGTCCTCACCGTCGGCTACGACGATGGGGTCTCTACAGAAGCCTCATGGGACGAATTGTAAATTTGTATTATGCAGATAGGCGACGACGGTATGCGTTGCGAAGCATGGGCCGGCCCAGCGCCGGGCCCCACACATCCACAAACGCCCACCATGGACGCAGAGAGCGACTTCAGAGATCCTAGCCTGATCAGCTATGCACGATCCATATCTAGATCTCGAGTCAACATTCTCGGCAGCTGTGCATATGTCTATCACAGGATCCACCGTATAGGTGCCCCGGATGTCACTTAAGCCTCTCGAGTCCGTTCACTGATCCTAGCTTAATATACGATTCGAAAATTCTAGGTCTCGATTCAACATACTCGGCAGCTGTGCAGATCACCTGATCCACCGTATAGCTGCCCGGCATGTCACATCCTTGAGCCTCTCGAGGCCGTATCACTGCGCATTTTGCACCATGTGCCAGACAGAATGGAAATTTCGAAGGGGTTTTGGGCTCTATCTGGATACGATCCTATATACCATATAACTCATATTTATTATTTTTTCATCTCACACTCATCCGAGGAGGCCGGGGGGTTAAAGAGCTAGGTTTTCCATTAAGATATGGCCTCTGGAAGGTCGGGGTTTCCATTGATATGGACACGTTGACAAATTCTGCACACATGTGATACGTCAGCCGAGCTGTACAACATTGCAACGTTACCACTATTTACAGACACGGATCCCCTGGGATATATATATATATATATATATATATATATATTCCTTTATTTATGTTTATGTGTATTTATACATATGTATACACACACACATATATATATATACTTATGGGTGAAGGTATATGTATGTGTATATGTTCGTTTGTGTGTTTTTTACATTATTTATTATAATCCTTGAAGAGCCCTCAACGCTGCTGCCAAGGCGCTCCAGGACCAGGCGAGCAGCGCCCAACAGAGCCTTGAGACCGCCCGGCGCTCAGTGGGCTCCCTTCAACAAGTTCCTTTTTAGGGTTTCTATAAGGGGTACCTTGTAGAAAGGGTACTATAAGGGTTCCTTTTTAAGGGCTTTATAAGGGTTTAGAGTTTCCGAAGACCCCATAAAATTGGAAACCCGATTAAGGCCAAACAGTGCTGGGATTCCCTATACATTTCTCTTAAGGATTGAGGCTATGGGGTTTCCAACTTTTGGACTTCTACTGTAGAGTACCTAGCTATGTGGGTTAGCTTAAACGGATCGATAGGGCTTCCTTTAAGCGGATCTATAGGGTTGCTTTAAAGGGATCACTAAGGCTCCTTAAAGAAATCTTCACGGCCGAGGGGTTCCGGGTTCAGCGTTTAGGATTCGGGGTTTGGGGTATAGTTCCGGGTTTAGGGTAGGCCTCCTTTGAAGGGTTCTTTGTTTTAGGGTTTTTGTAAGGGATACTACACGGGCTCTATGATATCGTGAGGGCCGAAATAATAAGAGTAGGGTTTTGGGTATATTATGCAATAGTTATGCTCCTTCAAGAGATCTTCAGAGCTTAGGGCGTTAGGCTTAGGGTTAAGACGGTTTAGGGTTAACGGGCTTCGTGTTTAGGGTTTTAGAGTTTGGGGCCCAGCACCCCCCCAAGTACCCTGCACTAAAGCCCTTGTGGGCCTTAGTAATGCGTATTTAGGGTATATTCGAGGGTAGTTCGGGGGGGGGGGGGAGTCTGAGTCTGGGTAGAGGTTCAGGATTTGAAGGGGTCAGGGTACAGGGTTCCGTGTTGCGTGTTTAGCGTTTAGGATTCGGGCTTTGGGGTTTAGTTCCAGGTTTAGGGTTCAGGGTTCCTCAGGGCTTAGGGTTTTAGGGTTTAAGATTGAGGACTTCTAAGAGAGACCTTGAGGGCTTAGGGCTTTAGGGGTCAGGGTTTAGGGTTTCAGGGTTTCGGCTTTAGGCCTCCTTAAAGAGAGCTAAACGCCTTAACATAGAGGCCTTAATTAGAATAGTTTTGGGGGCATACTGTGCAATCGTTGTAGTACGGGGTACCTTATAGAAAGGGTACTATAAGGGTTCCTTTTTAAGGGCTCTATAAGGGTTTAGAGTTTCCGAAGACCCCATAAAATTGGAAACCCGATTAAGGCCAAATAGTGCTGGGATTCCCTATACATTACTCTTAAGGATTGAGGCTATGGGGTTTCCAACTTTTGGGCTTCTACTGTAGAGTACCTAGCTATGTGGGTTAGCTTAAACGGATGGATAAGGCTTCCTTTAAGGGGATCTATAGGGTTGCTTTAAAGGGATCTCTAAGGCTCCTTAAAGAAATCTTCACGGCCGAGGGGTTCCGGGTTCAGCGTTTAGGATTCGGGGTTTGGGGTTTAGTTCCGGGTTTAGGGTAGGCCTCCTTTGAAGGGTTCTTTGTTTTAGGGTTTCTGTAAGGGATACTACACGGGCTCTATGATATCGTGAGGGCCGAAATAATAAGAGTAGGGTTTTGGGTATATTATGCAATAGTTATGCTCCTTCAAGAGATCTTCAGAGCTTAGGGCGTTAGGCTTAGACGGTTTAGGGCTTAGGGTTAAGACGGTTTAGGGTTTACGGGCTTCGTGTTTAGGGTTTTAGAGTTTGGGGCCCAGCACCCCCCCAAGTACCCTGCACTAAAGCCCTTGTGGGCCTTAGTAATTCGTATTTAGGGTATATTCGAGGGTAGTTCGGGGGGGGGGGGAGTCTGAGTCTGGGTAGAGGTTCAGGATTTGAAGGGGTCAGGGTACAGGGTTCCGTGTTGCGGGTTTAGCGTTTAGGATTCGGGCTTTGGGGTTTAGTTCCAGGT